CTCAGCTGTGAGCTCTGAGTTGTGAGCTGTCCTTGAGAGGTCAGTACACAGCATGTAAGTACAGACTGTGGTCTCTGACTTTTGCAGGGTGAAACTTGTCTGTGGCACAGTCCAAGGTTCCACTGGTGTGGAAAATGACCCTGCTAAAACACAAGATTTGTCTTCACCTAAATGCCACAACCATCAGAGCCGTACAGTTCCACACGCCCCAGAGTATTTTCAAAGGGTTCCTCAGTGCCTGCAAACCCTGGTTTGTTGAGGGTTCCATCTTGCTACTTTCCCTCAGCAACTTAAGTGATAAAGACACAGGAGCCTTAACAAAGAATCAGCTCTGTAATTTGCTGGGTTGGATTTACAGCTTCAAATACACCTGCTCCTGTAAACATCAGTTTACTTAATATTTAAACATAAAACTTTTTGCATATTTGGTAGAATCTTGGTAGAATCTTTCATATTGCTAGAACATCATGGGTGCTGAATGCCTCTTAACTTTCCTTATGCCATGTAAAGACCAACCAAAGAATTCCTAGAGGACAGATGGATTATATAAAAGCAACATCTACAGATGATTAAACACTGACAGAATCAGAGGAACACCCTGTCCTGCCCCAACTTGATGGTTGTTTCACAGAGCTTGTAATGATATGGCCCACTGGAGCATAAGATACTAAGGAATAACTCCAGGAGAGGAAAAGGCAGGGAAAGCAAGGAGCCTTACCCTGTTGTAATGACATATCTTTTTTTCTTTTTTTTTACCAGAAATGTGATACCTCAAAACACAAAGTGTTGGCAGTGTCTATATGCCCTCAGTCATTGCCTTATTTTGCTGCTAAATTCAACCTCTCTGTGAATGAAGCAGCCAAGAGACTCTGTGGTTTCCTCAAAAGTCTTGGTAAGTTTGGGGTTTTTATGGTGGTGGAGCAGAAAGGGGGGATTGTTTTAGGTTTTCTGCTTTCTCAGTAGCCTTCCAGTACCTGAAGGGGCTAAAGAGAGCTGGAGAGGGGCTTTTGACCATGGAGTGAAAGAGGGGAGATTTAGATTAGATACTAGGAAGAAATGAGGGTGGAGAGGCCCTGGCACAGGTTCCCAGAGGAGCTGTGGCTGCCCCTGGATCCCTGGAAGTGTCCAAGGCCAGGTTGGAAGGGGCTCTGAGCAAGCTGGGCTAGTGGAAGGTGTCCCTGCCCATGGCAGGGGGTGGAACTGATGGTCTTTAAGGTCTCTTGCAACCCAAACCATTCTGGGACTCTATGCTGTGATATTTTGTTGTGCAGTCAGAAGGTGCCATTGCACAACTTAGTTCAGAGTTTGAACTCCTCACTCTGTGATGTTCCAGCGGGGCACCAGTGACACAGAGCAGTGTCACACATGGATTGGAGACATTCCCTGTTCCCAGAAAGGTCATGGAATAGAAGGACATTGTAGAGCTGGCTCCAAAGCCTCCACTATCAAGAAATGAGGGAGGATTTGCTCATGATCTTCACTAAGATTTCCCTGTATTTTGTAACTTGAGGGAGGAGGGAATTCTTACCCTAAATTCCTTCTAGTCCTTTTGACACATTAAATCTCCACAAGACTCTCAGTTCTGTTTTTTCCCTGTAATTTGAAATTACATGCAAGAACTGTTGTATCTGCCTATTTTATGTTAAAGCTGTATTTCCTTTCTTCATTATGCTATATATAAGTTTGGAATTTTTTTTTTCATTTACTTGAGAGAAGAAAGAAAAAAAGGACAGTAATAAACCCATAAAGTGTTTCCATATATATACATATTCATTTTTCTTAGTTTTTATGATGCATCTTTGTACCCAGTATATTTTCTTCATCTAAAAGCACTGCTAAGTTGTGGTGGGGCCCAGTTTTCTCAGAACATGTTCATTATCAGTGTGGGGATGTGCTCAGTGTTACGTAGGCTTATAGGGAGTGTGTTGCTAAATAAGCAGAGAGCAGGTCTCTGCAGTATTGGTGATATGCTCCTGTACCTCTGCAGACAAATTCAGGAATGGGAGATATAACTGGATGTATTTTTTTGTGGATAATGATATGTGACTTCAGCATGTCTTGAAAAGAACACTCCTTTACAAGAGTCACTGTGAGTCACCCTGGAGTCATGAAATCCCCCTCAATTAAACCAAAAGCAATAGATGCTGAATGGCAAACTCCTCTGAAGGAGGCAGAGAACTATTTGAAGTGTTGCTTGCAGCATTAGCAAGCTGGTGGTCCTTTTAAATTCATGACATAGAAGATAAGTTTTTCAGTGTACGGCTTTCATTTATTTTCTAAAAATTTGGAGCGGGGAAAGAATATACTCATTGATCCTCCAAGATTTTCCATAGGCCTGGAACTTTGAGAGATGCACCATTCCCTGTTCCTTTCTGCTTGCTTCCCCAGGGGTGCATTATGTATTTGACACCACTATAGCTGCAGATTTCAGTATCCTGGAGAGCCAGAGGGAATTTGTGCAGCGGTACCAACGGAGGAACCAGGAGGAACATGCCTTACCAATGTTTGCCTCTGCCTGCCCTGGTGAGAACTGATTTCTCCATCCTTCCTGCCCTTCAGCCTGGTCTCACTGCAACTACCAAGGAACTAAGGAAAGAGTGGCTTCATTTGGGAGCTTTACACAACTTAAGGCATTTTTGGTTTGCTTCTGAGGGATACCAAGCACACAGTACTTGTTCCCAGTATCACTGGTCATCCTCAGTGCCTGGAATTGAGAATCAGAACTGGAATGGAGAAGTTAGTGGCTGCTGCTTGTGTGTTCAGACCACACAGTTTAATGGGGCATTTCCTTATTGAAAAGAACCTTTAAGGAACTTTGATAGGATTAAACCACAACCTCTCTTATCCTAAGCCAAGTTCTGAACTTGCCACTTAAGCCTGGGGGGAAAGTAGCAGGTGACATTCCTTGTAATGACTGTGAGATGGTCATGTCTGACACTCAGAAAGTAATCCTCACATGAAATGTCACAGCCTTGACTCACTAAATGTTTTACTTTGGGAATTTTGCACCTGAGAACGTGTTCTGTATGAACAGAACCTGCACTTATCCCAACTGAATAGATGCAGAACATTCAGTCACTGCTTATTTTTTCCATTTGTTAGCACACCACCATTTCAGTCTAAAAGTTACCTTCCTAAAACAGAAGTATCAAAAAAGAGGTAGAAGTAACTCCTTTGCCTAACATCCCCCTCAACTCTCCCCTAAAATTAATGGTTTTCCTTTTCAGAAGGCTGATAAAAATACCAAAATATTTCTTGCTAACTCTGAAATAACTCAAGTGGCTTGCAGTGGTTAAAGAAATGTTAGTGATGAGAGAGTGAGTGAGAGTTGCAGTTGGTAATGCCCAGAATCTGCTGTTGTCATTGATTTAAAGTTTAAATACTACTGTTTGAATTATATTTAATAATTTAATACTCTGTGTGTTCTGTGGTTGAAGTATCTGGGTTATGCTTTAGGTACTACATATATATACTAGGAGGAAAAGTGTTTTCTTTTCATCTTACTGTTATCTTAGTGTAACCTCTTATCTTTAGGTGCAGGCACACTATATATTGCTTTTTTTTCATGTGAAACCTGTGAAGTTGAAACACCCCCCATTAATTAGGTTGTGCATGGTTTCTGTAAAATTCAGGACCTGAGGATTTCTTTTAGAACTTCTGAGAATTTTGATTTTCTTCATCTAGAAACAGAGCTCAGTTATCTGCTGCTCTTACTGGAAATATTTTAAAATAATTAACGGAGCAGTTTTCTTGTCCTTGTGTGGCCCACACAAAATAGTTTCTGGTTTCAGTGCAGGTTGTGGTGTCAGCCCTCTGTACAGATGTCAGCAGAGCATGGGTGCTTTCCTTTTCTGGGAAACTGAGCCAGAATATCACTGTAAACCCATTTTGAAAACATGGTGTGTTTCTCTGACAGCCCTTAGAGAAAGCAAACATCATGACTAGTCATCTTTAAAGTTCATCATGTGTACTGACCTTAATTGTCTGAGGGCATTTTCTGTTCCTTATTCTCCTTCTTCTCCTTCCCCTCTCTACCCTCAGATTACATAAATTTGTCCCAGAAATGCTGTTTACCGTGTTTATCACAAGATGTTTTTTATACATTTCAGTAGATAGAAGGTCAATGTGAACTCAAGTAGAACTGCTTTTTGCTCTTGTTTATCTTGGGCTGTGACCCTGCTCAGCCCTATCACCCCGTGCAGCAGCCTGGTGTGGAACATCTGCCATGAGCAAAGAGCAGAGCCCAGAGGGCCCAGGACCTGATAAAAAGGTGGATTAGTGTCCCTCTCTTAATTGTTCACCTCCTGCTGCTCCCAAAGGAGAAAGTGAGCTGATGGTTTTGTTTCTTGTTTAAAGTACAACAGTGTAACTACTGATAGTACAGGCAATCACTTGTGTTCCTCAATGTACCAGGCTGGTCAGCAACATGCAGCACGTTTTGAAACAGCCAGTTTTTAATGCATTGCCAACCTCTGTGTACTCCCAGAAAAGCCAAGGGGTTGGGATTTGCAGCAGCAGTAGGAAGAACATAACTATTGAGGATTCAGATGCTTTTGTCCCAGTCAACTAATTGCCTTTTTCAGGAACGGGGTTTTACAGGAGCAAAAGTTTTCTTAGTTTTCTCACCTTTCCTAAAGATGTACAGATACATTTATGGCATCTATCTTTGTGACCTTCTCACAATAACCACTAAAAATATGTGTTCTGAAGTACCTCTGCAAGAAAGTATGCATTGATTTGTAGGGGTTTCTTGCTCTTTGATGCCAACACAAGCCAGCAAATGGCTGAGAATCCGAATGAATTTGTGGAGGGGGTAGGTCTGGGTGGGTGCAGGTGCACCCTGATGGAAGAATGGGGTATCTGAGGCTTCCTGTGCCTGGGGCTCTGGAACTGAGCCCTGGGATGAGCAGGCAGGAACAGCAGTGTGTGTGTGCAGGGCAGAGCAATGCCTGTGCCCCTCACCAAGGCTGCCTGTCAATCAGCCAGGGACTGATGGGCATCAGGAGCTGCAACTCTGAGACACTTGTTCCATCTGCTGCAAGGACAGAAACAACTTCAGAAATTACTTTGGGCAATACCTGTCAGAAATCTCTTGGGATTCAGTGAAATGTCCTTACAGCTCATGACTACAATAGCTGAAACATTCCAGTTTTAAGAATTCATAGCAGGAGTGCTGGGGTGAGTAATGGCAAGTACAAGGCAGAGTGGTTTTTAAACTGTCCTTCTTTGGTTTGAAGCAGTTGTTCTCTTTGGACAGCACTTGAGACTAAGGCCATTTGAGCAGTAGGATGTACCCATGCTGCAGAATGTAATACAGCCTTTTACCAAACACCAAGGAATTAAGTCCTTTGTTGCAGGTACAGTTGAAGGTGGACGTGAGGCAAACCTTCTGTTCAGAGTCTGGCAATTCAGCACAGTCCTGACATGTAAATCTGGTCCTCAGCTTTTCCTACAGCAGAAATGAATGGTTGTTGAAGATGGTGTGTGTCTTTGAGATTTTCCATGGAGACCACTATCTGTTCTTCAGCAAGAATTGGGAATATTTAAACAGCTGGAGGATCCTCGGGTTTTTCTAATACTTTCACATTCTCATTTTCATCAGTAAAATTTTATAACACTGGGAAAACTACTCTGCCATAGAGAGGCAAACAGCTGAACACCGCTTGGATCCCACTTTTGTGCTGCTGTTCTGACTTAAACATTACCAAGTGTTTTTTTACATAAGTGGTAATTCCAAGATTAAAAATTAAGGTACAGATTTTACCCTTCCTGGGCAGCATGTACTGTGCACAGCAGTTTTTCTCTTATGTAAACACTAATTTGCTTGAAGATAAAATATTTAAGTGTGATATTTCTCATTATTCCTTAGCACCAAAAGCAACACACTTCCCTGGAAGGCTGGGCCTAAACCTCCTGCACAGTTTAGGTGTCATGTAGATGAAAAAAGCACCAAACCTTTGCTGTGAAAGATTCTGGGCTGTGATTTCCAGTAAGAGCCTAAGAAAGTGCCTAAGAAAGAATTGCACACCCTAAATACCTCGATTTGCCAGTTCTGTTTTGGAAGGTGGGGAATAATACAACAGCTCTGGATATTGGGAATGGTGTGAATATCCACAGCTTGCCTGAGCTGGCATGCTGAGTGAAGGAGTCTGGTGAGAGGGAGGGGGGTTCTTGAGTAACTAAGGACAGAATGTTGCACACAAAGATTTCAGTTCATTCCTGTGTGTGTGGTTGAGTGTGTGGGTGTTCCTGAAGGTGTGGCTACTCCAGCAATAGTAAAAGAAGCCATTTTTTTCCAGGCTTAATCCATGTGCACCTTGTGATAATGCTTTCATGTGACTCTTCTGTTCCAGGGGGGCGAGCTGGGGGCATGGATACTGAATCTCAGGAAACAGCAGGTTCCAGTTAAGCAGCCAAACAGTGCATTTGTTGTAGTATGAGGTGATCCGAGGGCTGAGGTCTAGAAGGTCAAGTTACTCTTTGTTAGTTGGGGTCCTGTTCTTTCTGCTTTGTTAAATCTGTGCACTAGGAAGGGTGTAACAGGGCACGAAGTTCACAGTGGCTTTAGGTCTAGAGTTAATGACACAGTGAATTATCGATTAAAGCATTATTAACAGAGCCTTGAATTTTCCTCCATTTCCCCTCACCCTGCACAGAAATGTCCTACCTACTGTGAAGGGGTCAGAATTTTTAGGAGCTGTTCTCTGAGTTGTGCTTCTGGGCCACTTCTCCCTCTGACTGTGATTTTTCCTGTCTCTCCAGGTTGGATCCGATATGCTGAAAGGGTGCTCACCAACCTGGTGACCTCTCACATTTGCACTGCAAAGTCTCCCCAGCAGATCATGGGCTCCCTAGTGAAGGGCTACTTTGCCAGGCAGCAGGTAAATAACTCCCATTTATTTTTACCATTATACTCTTCTAAATAGAAAAGTTGGGCTAGTGGGTTTTAATACTGAAATACAGATGTTAGTTATTATTTGTCCTTGTAAAATAAATAGTGCTCTGCTGCTACACAAGTGCCACGATGGGAAGAATGTGCAAAGAACCTCAGTTCATGCAGTGCAATCCTTGCACTCTCAGGGCAACATGGCTTTAGATATTTAAGGATAAAATTAAACCCATGGCAGCTAAAGGGTTTCTTGTGCTGTTCTACAGCACAGCCAAAATAGGAGCGGAGGAGAGACATGTGGAAATTGCCCTGTTATCTGGGATCAATAAAAGCACTGTATCCTGGAAACAAATCTTTGTATCCTCTCAAGTTTGTAGGTTGAAAAAGCTGCTGTTCTTTACATATCACACTTACATGGAACTGCAGCCACAGTCTGTAGGAAATTGTTGCTGTCTGCACATGGATACAGAAATAGAGAGACATAAATGAGTGACAGCTGGAAACCAGAACTCCTGAACTGTATTCATTTTCTAAGGCAATCAAAAGCTACAGAAAACGTGGTGTGAAGGTATAAGTAGGAGTTCCAGCCAGAAGACAGACTTTGGAAGTCTGTTGCTGATGCTTTGTGACTTCTGGCAAATCATTATCTGTGTGTGGCAGCCTCTAAATGTAATGGGTGGGGGCTGATTCCTGGTATTGCCTGCACGGGGTTTATGACACTACTTCTGTCCTTGTCATCCTTCAAGCTGTCTTTTGCTCTTCAAGGAGTTCACTTGTGCTCCCTTCTGTGTTCCACAGAACTTGTCTCCTGATAAAATTTTCCATGTAGTTGTGGCGCCTTGTTATGACAAAAAGCTGGAAGCCTTGCGGGAAGATTTCTACACTGCCTTGTATAATTCATCAGAAGTTGATTGTGTCCTGACATCAGGTGAAATCTTTAAACTTACCATCTATAAATATATAAGTGAATCACCAGTTTTAGCACAGCCTTCATGTCAGACTTGGCTTTTTTCAAGTCTGCTTTAGTCCTAAGGTTGGCTTTTCTCTGCTTAAAAATAAGTACGTCTGTTTTTGTGGGACTGTGAAGGGGATACTTTCCTTCTAAGTTGCTATTCATCTGACATATCAGGTGTTTCTTTCTGTCAGCCTCTCGAGGAAGGTAAAAGTTATGCAAATCTATATTTAAAATGATTATCTGTCTTGTCTGTGGTCATTATTTAATCTCCACTGGGATTATTTTTAACACTCCAAATTCATGTCTTTAGCCTTAATGTCCAAACTACACATCCTGCAGTGTAGAGACATCTTCCAAATTTGCCCTACCATGAAGGCTAAGGATTTAAGCAAAGCTTGGGCAAGCTTGAAGGCCCTTTTCTTTGGGGCTGGAAGTGTCAGGCTTCTCAAGTTATTGGAGGGAACTGACTCTGGGAAGAGCTGGACAATGTGACTGAGCAGGTGTTGGGACATTGATCTCTAAAACAGGCACAGCGTGGGGGTTGTGCTTTGTGTTGAAAGTAAAATGTCTCATGTTTTCCTACAGGTGAAATTGTCCAAATAATGGAACAGAAAAATGTGTCTATGAAAGATGTGCCTGAAGTAGCTGTAGATAGTTTGTAAGTAGCTTTGTTGTGGATTGTTTCCTTATTTTGATCATAAATGACACCTTGAAGCATACTCAGCATCAATGTAAAACTGCTCAGGAGAATGTTTTTTCTTTTTAAAGAAAAAAACCTGCATCAAAGCCTGAATATCCCACAGCTTCATCCTTTATGTGGTGGCCAAAACCACAGAAGTGTTGTCTTAGATGTTCATTGCTATATATAAAAGTAATATGAAACAGATAATATAAAACTGTATATGCTGTCTAAACACAAAAGGGTCATTACCTCAGATTATATGCTACATAATAACTCCTTTAAAATTTATGACTTTAGAAGATTTGTGTAGCTCCTTATTTTTATTTTAACGCAGTAATATTAGATTTGACTGTGCTGAGCTCATGCCTTGCTGGTAAATGTGACTGTCTGGGGGTGTTGACCCCGTTCAGAGCTCTCCTGTGCTTGATCTTGAGTGAAGCCCAGCAGGCTGATGTGCCTCACACAAAGCTGCAGGGACACAGTCGTGGGCTTGACCATCTGCTCTGTGCTCCCCTCTCCTTCACAGGAAATTTCCACTTCCCCAATATGTTCACGGAGAACTGCTAGAAGCAGCACCCTTTCAGGAAAGGGTAATTAACTGGTTTTTATACTGAGGACAGCAGTTAGTTTTTCAAGATTAGCTCAGACTGAACTGTGCTGTGGATGAGAAGCACACAAAGCACTGAAGAGGTTTTGTTTACACCCCATATGCCTGGCTCAGGGAGCACTGTGCCTGGTGGTTAATTCTCAGGCTTAGTTACAGAGGCTGCTCTCCCTGATCTTTGCTCAAGTGTGACAGATGTTCCTTGGTATCTTTCCAGAGGGGTGGTAGTGGAGCAGTAAACATGCTTTCTTGCAGAAAATAGAAAACTCTGTAAGTTTGGAAAAATCCTTTTCAGTTCCAGTTAATATCCTGCTTGGATCTTGTCTAGAGTGGAGGAATTGGAGTGGTGCAGTGGGAACATGTTCAGAGCTGTGTTTCTGGTGCAGCTCCTGTGATTGCTTCTACCAGGAACTGTCACACAATGAGAATTCCACGAATAAAGCTCTTGCAGGCATAATCACATAGAGACAGTCACTTAATTCTGTATCAGCCTGTCCAATGAAAGAACAAGCTGTTATTCAGAATATACCTGGTTTATTAGCTCAGTTTATAGAACTACAGAATCTCCTGAGTTGGAAGGGACCCACTAGTTGGAAGGGATCAAGTCCAACCCCTGGCCCTGCCCAGGACACCCCAGCAATCCCACCCTGTCCCTGACAGCTCTGTCCTTGAGCTCTGGCAGCCTTGGTGCTGTGCCCACTGCCCTGGGGAGCCTGTTCAGTGCCCAACTACCCTCTGGGGGAAGAACCCTTTCCTGAGATCCACCCAACCCTTCCCTGACACAGCTCCAGCCATTCCCTGGGTCCTGTCACTGGTCAGAGGGAGCAGAGATGGATGTTGCCCCTCCTCTGCCCCTTGTAGGAGCTGCAGACCCCGATGAGCCTCCCCTCAATCTCCTCTTCCCCAGGCTGAACAGACCAAATGACCTCAATTTATGTTGGGAGATAATGTTAGCTTTTCAAAGGATTAATCTGATAATACTGATTCAAGCTGAGAGACCTGATGACATAAATTTTTGCTCTTCTGGGGTCTTAAAAATAGATCTTGCAGAGAAATTTAAATAACTTGGACTCTTCTTAAAATAAGTCCCAGCACAGCAGCAATTTGTGATGAAGTGCTTGGTGTTAAAAAGTTCCATGGATAAAGTAATTTGTGTTTGAGTTCTTAACTCACTTGTGTAGCTCCAGCAAACAGCATTTGGCAAAAGTTGGGAGAAACACCATGGAACAAAATCACCTGAGGTTGTTAAAAAAAGAAAACAACCCCAAAAAACCAACCATAAGCTGCAGTAGTTCTTCAGTAGCTGCACTGGTGTGGCATGGAGGGGACAGACATATTTGAGCTTTTCAGTGATTTAGTACTTATTAAAAAAAGTACTTATTAAGTGTAATAACTTTGTTAGTGAGGTGTTTGCTGTGGTAACTCTCACCTGGGCTCTGTGGCCGAGCTCTGTGCTGGGATCAGCTCAGGCAGGAGCTGCCAGTGCCAGGGAGGGGCACTCTGGGTGTTCTGGGAGAAGGGAACGAGACTGCACCCAGAGGGGCTGTTACATGGAAGAGCAAAGCACATCATCTGTCTGTCTGCTGATCAGCCCAGTGTCTCCTCCTGGAAGTGGCATTCCCACCCCCACATGGATTCCTCCTCTGCCAGGAGGGAACAGGAGCCCCCAGAGCTGCAGCTTTGGGATCCCCAGCACGTGTCCCAGCACAGCCCCTCCTGCAGCCACGTGGGCTCAGCAGAGCTGCTCCCAACTGGGGCAGAGGTGAAGCTCCAGGAGAAGGCCATGGCCTTGGACAGGAGCTCTCACTGCCTTCCCTGAGCTAGAGCACAGCACTTGTTTCAAGGTACACTATTCTAACTTGGTTGCAGCTGTACCAGTTCAGTGTTCTGTTGACACACTGTTATAGACTGTGACAAACAGCTCCTGGAGCAGGAGAATTGTCTGTCAGCAAAGACTTGTAACTTTATATTCTCACAGGCAAAAACCTACTATTTAAATAATTTTATTTAAATATTTTCCAAAAAATGTCTCCTGAGCAGTGAATGGCTGTTAACCAAATATTTAGGCTGTGCTGAATGTGCATTCTTACGAATTACTGTTGCTTGAACATGGAAAGCCCTACAGCCTTTATTTTATATATATTTTATTTTATTTTTTTCACAATCTTGCTGCTGTCCTGACCAGTTTACATTTTTTAAGCTGTAATAAAAATGTTAATGTGTTCTTACTTAGTGCTACAAAACACTTTTTGGTGGGGGAGATAGAGAAAGGGAAAAACATACTGCTTGACTGAAGGGAAGGAATGGAATTTCAGAGTTGATCTTCCTTTCTGTTGTTTTCTAAGGTTTGCTGACATAAAGGAGGGAGATGTAGTAAGGCACGATGGGAAGAGGTCTGATGGTTACCTGGAGCACATTTTTAAACATGCTGCAAAGGAGCTTTTTGGCATGGATGTCAAGGAAATCACCTACAAAGCATTAAAGTAAGTCAAGAGTTTTGTATCCTTGTTATGTAGGACTGGCTAGTTAGAATAGAATATTTTCACTTGCAAGGGACCTACAATGATCATCCAGTGCAACTGTCTGAGGAATGTGGGCTGACCAAAATTAACCACCTCTCTGGGGGATTCTGTTCCAGGGTCTGACCACCCTTTTGGTTAGGAAAGGGTTGCTGAAGTCCAGTCTGAACCTCCCCTGGTTTAGTTGGTGCTGCAGTGAATGCAGCTGATATGTTATAAACCTGTAAGTCTGTCACAGCATTCATTTAATTGATAGCTTAACCACACTTTAAAAATTAACTATAGTTCTATTCTGAGTTACACCCCAATTTCTGCTTAACACAGTTTAGAAACTGGAAGAGTTCACCTTGATCTTACTGTTACACTTGTTCTGTTCTCTTTAGAACATCTGAATACAAACTGACACAGTTGGATTGTTCCTCTGGGAACACAGGGGGTTAAAATGTTCTCTGTGTGTTTTGACAGGAACAAGGACTTCCAAGAAGTTACCCTTGAAAAGGATGGGGAGACAGTGCTGCGCTTTGCAGCAGCTTATGGCTTTAGAAATATCCAAAACATGGTCCTGAAGTTGAAAAAAGGAAAGTTTTTGTACCATTTTGTAGAAGTCCTTGCCTGCCCAGGAGGTAAGAATAATTGTGGATCCCCAAACGCTCTGTGCACGTCTTGAATCTCAAAGGAAAGCTGCCCTAAGGCAAGCACTTCATTCCTTCCTAATTCCCTTCTTAATAATCTAAAATCTCATTGTTTAATGAAGGGTCCAGAACACCAGTTACAGGTTGTGGGTTGGCTCAGGAATTGATTGGTTTTTCCAAAATTAGCCCCAGTGTTTCTGGCTCTCTGCTGACCTATCAGTCAGTGCCGGCACTTCCAAACCTCAGAGGAAATCCCTGAAATGGTCGTTGTCAAGGGCAAGAAAGAGAAGATAATTAGGATCATAAAACCACGGAGAAGGCAGGGAAAGACTGTTGATATGGAAACCTCATTTCCATTAAGATGATGCTGATATCAGAGTCACTTTAGGTAAATACAAATTGTAATAGCACTGGGGGCAGTTTATGTAAAGCCAAGTGTGAAAAACGAATTTTGAGTTAAAATTTCTCCTCATATCAAACCTCATCACCCTTGCAGCTTTTTTGTTCCTTTTTTTTTCCCCTAAGGGTGCCTAAATGGCAAAGGCCAGGCCCAGACTGAGGATGGCAAGCCAGACAGAGCCCTGCTTGCCCAGATGGAGGAGGTGTACGCTGCCATTCCCGTCCGGCTGCCAGAAACCAACCTGCACGTACAGAAGGTGTACCAGGACTGGCTGGAGGGCATGGACTCCAAGAAGGCCCAGGAGACTTTGCACACCACATACAGTGCAGTGAATCAAAGCACGAGCAGTTTGGACATCAAGTGGTAACAGATGACAGGGCAGAGCTGTGCTGAGCTCTGGGGTCACCACGGGGACCCTCTATGCAACCACGGAGCACCAGCCAGGGTGAGTGAGGCACTGCCCAGCTGGGGACTGTTCCTGGGGAAGAACCATTGCTTTGCAAAACCACAGAAGTCTCCAAAAGCTCTGGTTCCTGCCACTGTCATTTAACTTTTACTGTGTGTCGTTTCATGGATTTCCTCATTCAAAAACGTGATCTCGCAAGGTCCAGAAGCCCTTTGGGAGTGTAATTCCTGAAGAAGTTACTCCCTGGAGTGAAGCATTCCATTCACTTCACAGCATGGGCTCCTCCAAGAGGGTGAGATGATTTTACTCCTACTCCTAGGTGTGCAATCCCTGTCATCACAGGAGAACAGTCCACAGGAATTTCAGTATTGTTGCAGTTGGTGTGAAGTAACTTGGGATTTACTTGTCTGGCTAAGGAAAAAGCCCTTTAAAAGGACAAGTGAGTATATGAAGAGATGTAATGAATTTCTATATGCCTTGTATCTGTAATTCAGCAAAAAAATGCTCAGTTCCAAACTAGCCACCATTCCTTCCTGATGTAATGTCACAGGATGCTTCACAGAAACTGAACCTGGGAAGCTAATGCTGACTGGTTCATTTAAAATAGCTCCAAATAGGTTGGTTGGTTGGTAAAAAAGAGAACTTACTTTAAGTTGTCTTCAAAGCTTGCAGCCAGGAGTGGTGGTGCTGCTTGGCTTCTCTCTGAGAGTGAAACATGCCCAGATTGTTCTTTCATTTGTCTCCCATGTTGACAGACTTCTGCAAAAAATAACTTCCTGGGGTGCCTCTGAGAAAAAAGTCCTGAGCAATGCTTGTGAACTCATCAGAGTTAAGATACATCAGCATCATGAATTTTGGTGCACTTATTTTTCTAAGTATGCTGTAGAGGTTTCATTTAACAGACACTGTAAAGTGCTCTTGGCATGCAAGCTTGTCTGCAGTGTCCTGGGTTGTCAGAGGGTTGTTCAAGAATGTGATGGACAAAAGAAAATTAAACTCCTGCCAGACTTCCTCAGATTTTCCTGGTAACATCCAATCTGTTCACCATTAATGGCTGTTTGAAACTAGCAAAGTTCCACCTTTCCTTGTCCAGCCTGAAAGGGTGGATGGGCTTTTTTAATCATTTCATGCAGTTTGAATTAATCTTCTTGTACATTCAATATTACAAGAGCTTGTGTGAGGAAGGTCTAATCCTGCAAAAACCTGTGTGTGTTTGAAATCCACATTTCACCTGAACCCAGTGGATGGGATAAAGCAGCAGGGAAGGCAGTGCAAGTCCTGGCATTGGCCGAAAAGGAGAGAGACACTCAAGTGTCACCCTGATGACAAGAAATAGTTCTCTTAATGTGAAGCTGTTAATAATTGCAGCCTCCACCTAAACAAGAAACCATTGCACTTGGAGGGATGTTTTCTTTCAAGTGCAGATGAATTTGATTAGTGCACTACCTGAATGCACACCATGAGATTATCCCCATGAATTAGCCCGAGTTGGCCCTTGTAATAAAAACGTGGTACTTACGTGGTGCAATATCAGAACATCACCAGAAATCTACCTCTGTACAGGAAGGGAGGCCAGAAGTCGTGGGAAGACCTGTGTGTGTAGCTGGAACTGTGACAAATGTCTGCTAGAGAAAGATGGGGTGTTGCATGACATTTGGGAACAGATTTCTTTTAGAAGCAACATCCACCTCCTTCAGTCTGATTTTCTTTATCTGCCACGATTTCCTCCAGAAACTCCAACGGAATTATCATGTACTAAGGTGTCCTGTTCTGTTTGTATAGGCCTGTTTCTCTGTATATATGGTTTGTAGCTGGATGCATGTTTAAATTATATGGCTTCTGCTCTTTGTACAGTGTGCTTATTTTTTTATGTGCATATACTGGGTGAAGTGGTATGAAAAAGTGTGAAATCTTCACTAAATGACACAAGAGCTGCCTTGTTCTGAAAGGAGACCCCTGAACTGTTTGTGCAAGGTGACAAATCCTCCTCAGGGGTGGGTGGCACTTTGGCCTCTGTGTTTGGCTGTTGCACTGAAGGGCCTCACTCCCTGTGCCAGTGGGGGACCCCCAGGAATGGGCTGGTCCGTGGGGGAAGGAAATCTGTGCCCTGCTCCCAGGAAATCTGTGGCTCAGTGTATGAAATAAATTATTTCAATTGAATCCACCATTTCTTCCATCTGCTCCAGTGTTTTAACCCCCTGAGGTCACAGTGTGAAGAGCTGTTGATTATTTGGCTGCTGCAGAATTCTTTTTAAAGACAAGAAGGGCATCTAACTGAGCTTGTAGAGGCTGCATGGAATGTCTGTATTATCATTAGTGACCTAAGTAACTGAGACTTGTCTTTTATTTTGGTTAGCTTTTCTTTTATAAGACTTTTTGGAGTAAAACATAAGCCCTTTTCTTTAAAGTGCCAGTTGAAAAGAATTTTTTCTTTCCCCCTCCACCTGCTTTCATTGAAATTTGAGGTATCGGAAAACCTCATTACAGCTTCATATATAGTGAAACACTTGCCTAAGGTTTGATTCTGGCTTTTAAACCTGTAGTTGGAAAGTGTTACTGTTGACAACACATGTTCCAGCCACACTTCTGAAAATACAGCACTATTTAATTCCCTGATTAATTTTTGGCAGCCAATAATTTCCATTGCTCCTGCCTTTTCAGCAAAGGGAAAAGCTCCTGGTGTGGCCACAGCCATAGTGCTTCACCTCTCCCTTGAATGTTCTGCTGAGACAGCCTTGTCTCTAGAGGCTTTTTAGAAAATTCTGAGCTGGAGGGATTCTGGGAAGGGAACTGGAAATGCTGAATTAATTTGGGAATTGTCTTGGGTGTTCTTGACTTGAGTACATCAAGTGCTGGATGCCTGGGTTGTAGTTCTGTACTCTGAGGCTGTTCCAGTGTGTTGTGAGGTCCCTTTGCCTTGAGCAGGAGGTTTCCCTCAGCCCCAGGAGTGTGTGCTTCCCTGACAGTCAAGGATATATCCATATGCAGCAGTCTCAGCTGGACTGCATTTGGACAGTGTTCTGTTACCCAAATTTCAGTGCTTTGTTTTTAAATGGAGCATGACCATGAACTGTCCTGAATAAATCCTGATGCTTAATTCTGCACTGATTCCATCTCATCCCATAAAAAAGTCTCAGTACACCTGGTTTCACACTTGTCTGGAGTGCTGAGCATGTCTCTGGCACCAATAGTGCCTCAGCTGTTTGGGAGAGTTCTGGGTCACAGCTACACCTCCAACTCTCATAAATGGAAGGAGAAAGTTGCCAGATTGCTGTGGGAAAGGGTAATCTGCTCTCTAGAATTGTAAATTAATATACTGAATCACTGCAAGGCAGACAAGCCTCTATGGCTTTAAAGCTCTGGTGCCTGGGGAGAAGGATGAAACCAGTCTGTGAGGGCTGACTAATTACACTGAAGTTACTGTAGAGAGTTAATTAAAACACTGGTGCACAAGGAACAATAAAATCCTTATTTGTGTGTGGCCTGATCCAACAAACAGCTGAGGGAAGGATGAAAATTAGCCCTGACACAGACAAGGGATTTTTCATCGATGGGTTGGGTGAAAATGTAACAAACTGAGCAAACATTTCCATATGTTCCCTTGAGCAGCTGGGACCTGAACTTCCACTAAATAATAAATTGATCTGAAGGTGTCCTGTGCTTTCTTTTCAAGGACAGTACGGAAGGGTTACCTGGTCAGAGGAGGAGGAGCTGCTGGCACAGAGCAGGGATGTTCCTGTTGCTGTGTAAACCAGTGACTAGTGAGGAGAGGTTTGCAGGAGGGGAGATGGTGTTCTGGTGTCCTGAGCAACCCTGGAAATGAAAAGCAAACACTGAGGGTGTGTGTCAGGAAAGCACTGGGAATACCCATTTAAACTGTGCAGAGTTCCATCTGTGACATCATCCCTGCTCTAAACCCACGGCATTCCTGCCCCCATTTTCCAAGCGAGTACTTGGGTGCAGCTGAAAAACAATGTCCAAATTCAGCACATTTACCTACTGAAAGGCAAGTTTTCCACAGTGTAAATGCCTTTTTTTCCTCCCCCCAAAAAAAGACTTGGTGTAAAACATCAGTGAAATATAATGGAATATCCAATTAAAATGTTATAACAATTATTTAAGGTCCTGCCCTTTTTGTCCACTGTACAGCTGTTGATCCCAGTGAAGAAAAGTGGGAGCAGCATGATAAAGGATCAGGTCAAGGAAAGCCTTTGGCATTGAGCTCCCTCCCGGGCAGTTCCATCCCTGCTGCAACGTGACCCCATGGAACAGGGAAAAATCGGGATAATCCCGACAGGTTCTACCGAGATTTGAACTCGGATCGCTGGATTCAAAGTCCAGAGTGCTGACCATTACACCATAGAACCAAGTGGTGCTTCTCTGCCCTGTGAGCCTGGCCAATAAAGCCATAGTCAACAAATCCCACTGGGAAAACTACACTGGACCCGCAGTGACTGGCAGGAATTTAACACGATCTACATATCCATATTTATCCTGCGTTTCTGCAGGATTCATTGTGTTCACAGAATCACAGAATTGTTTTGGTTTGGGAGGGACCTTAAAGCTCATCCAGTCCCACCCCCTGCCATGGGCAGGGACACCTTCCACTAGCCCAGCTTGCTCAGAGCCCCATCCAACCTGGCCTTGGACACTTCCAAGGATCCAGGGGCAGCCACAGCTTCTCTGGGCAACCTGTGCCAGGGCCTCACTGCCCTCACAGTAGAAAATGTCTTCCTTATCTCTAGTCTCAATCAACCCTCTTTTACTTTAAAACATCACCCCTTGTCCTGTCATTCCATACCCTTGTCCAAGGCTCCTCCCCACTTTCTTTAGGTACTGGAAGGCCACAATAAGGTCACCCCATAGTATCATGATGGCAGGAAGCAAACAGGGGCAGTGGGAGAACACCTGTTTTTAGGGACACACGGAATCCTTGTACCTGCCCCGGAGCTCAGTGGTGCCTCCAGCTTTGCTAATGCAGAATTTAGAATCGTGTTCCCAGTGTAGAAATAAAAGAACCACTGATGTTCCAGTGAACTGTGACATCTCTGACATTCTTCAGATAATTCCTGTCAGAATATACCAACCTGGCTGCAATAAGTAATAGATATGGAAAAAAATATAATCAGGAAAATCCTATGTTTGTTTTCTCTTCCTCTTTCACTTTCCATATGCTTTCCAGGTAGCACGGGATATGTCAGTAGTTCACGGCATTTCAACAGTCCATGAAAAACACCTGAAACAACTTTTCCACGATTTTCCAGCAGAGAAATTTGACAACTGCAAAAAAGCTTCAGGTTCCACCGAGATTTGAACTCGGATCGCTGGATTCAGAGTCCAGAGTGCTAACCATTACACCATGGAACCACACATCCTGAGCCCCCGAGCCGTGCCTTGTGAGGGAAATCCGGGGGGAAAAACCAAAATTGTCCCTTTATGCGTCAATTTGGTTTATCTGGTTTTCCTCAGCTCATGTCACTTAAGGCCTGAACACACATTTTTTCAACATCACGTGCACTGGCTGTATTTCAGAAGGAGGAGCAGGGACCATTGTCACAAGTGTTGTTTTGAGTTTGCCAGATTGTTTCCTCTCTTGGTACTGACTGACTAGTGTGTGGGTAACAGAACATTCATTTAAACACGCAAGACATGGAAAAACGACAAATATACGCTTTTACAGGCTAGTTACAGGCCTGGTGGAGCAGGTCCAGATGAAGCCATGAAGATGTTCCAGGGGCTGGAGCACTTCTCCTATAAGGAAAGGCTGAGAGAGCTGGGGTTGCTCAGCCTGGAAAAGAAAAGGCTCTGAGAGGCCTTATATATTTATCTTATAAGAAAGATAAGGAAGAAACATTTTAGTCTGAGGGTCGTGAGACACTGGCACAGGGTGCCCGGAGAGGTGGTGGATGCCCAGTCCCTGCAGACATTCAAGGCCAGGTTGGACGGGACTCTGAGCAACCTGATCTGTCCCTGCCCCTGGCAGGGGGTGGGCCTGGATGGCCTTTAAGGGTCCTTTCCAACGCAAACCACCCTGTGACTCCCTGAAACCATCAAATCACGCTAGAAGAAAGGCTGTAAGCACCACACCATGCCGTGCTCTGTCCATCCTTTACTCGCACCCGCTCCACGGCATGTGGTCGAGATGGTTTAGGAAAAATAACTACTCGCTACACCACCGTTCCCCACAGCCATAAATAACCAGCAGCGAGGACGGAGGGGGGGGATAAAAAAGAAAAAACGTAGCTAGCAGAGGATGGTTTCGATCCATCGACCTCTGGGTTATGGGCCCAGCACGCTTCCGCTGCGCCACTCTGCTGCTCCTGGTACAAGCTGGTCCCGCCCGGGCTTATAATCGTCTGCGTCACAGGCGCTTCCTCCCCGCTCCCACAGCCTCGGGATTCTCGCTCCAGCTCCCGCGTACTGCGGAGACACTTGAAATACACCAGGAGCAATGGCCATAAACTGAACTACAACATGAGGAAGAGCTTCTTTACGCTGAGGGTGGCAGAGCCCTGGAACAGGAGCCCAGGGAGGTCGTGGAGTCTCCTCTGTGGATGCATTCCTGGGTCACCGGCCCGGACTGGAGGCGATCCCCCAGAGGTCCCTTCCAACCCGAACGATTCTGTGAAATAGCAACAAATGGCTTCAACTACCAGCGTATCGACGCAGGTGATCGATATGAACTAATTTAACCACAAGCCACCGATATATCACCACGGAAAACTGTACCATTACCAGCTGCGCAGACGCCACCGCCGCCCGGAGCTCCGCTGCAGGTTATGGAGAAGGGACGACGCGTGAGGAGCCCCCGCGCGCCGCCCCGCCCCATAGGGCTTTGCGCTTATTTGCATACAGCGGCTGTATTTGCATAAATTGGGCCGCTGGATTTAGGCTCTGTTTTCCCAATTCCCACCTTCTCCCGCCCCTCCCGACCTGAGGCACGGTCGGGGGGGTGTGTGTTACAGTTACACCACCGGCACCACCGGCTCGTCCCCCCCACCCGGCGTCACCGTGACCTTGCAGAATGCGGATTCCTCCGGTACAAATAGCGGCATGGCCAACTTCACAGTCGTGCTCGCTTCGGCAGCACATATACTAAAATTGGAACGATACAGAGAAGATTAGCATGGCCCCTGCGCAAGGATGACACGCAAATTCGTGAAGCGTTCCATATTTTTTTCCACCCCCCATTCAGCCTTCCGACTCTGGAATAACCCCACAGGAGGCCTTATCGCTCTGGACAACTCCCTGGAAGGAGGTTGGAGCCAGGCAGGGGTCGGTCACCTCTCCCAGGCAACCAGCAATAGGACAAGAGGACACAGCCTTAATTGATACAAGGGGAGGTTTAGGTTGAATATCAGGAACAATTTATTCATGGAAAGGGTGATTAAACACTGGAGTGGGCTGCCAGGGAGGTGGTGGAGTCACCATCCCTGGAAGTGTTTAAGGAAATGACTGGACATGGCACTTAGTGCCGTGATCTAATTGACATGGTGGTGTTGGACTTGATGATCTCAGAGGTCTTTTCCAACCTAACTGACTCTGTCATTCTGTGACAACTCCCCCGGGCACCCCAACAGCTCCCAGGACCCCAGAGACACAGCACAACAGTGGGTCCCTCACTGCTTCCACACTGCTCCCATGCCAAGGTCCCCGCTGGCTCTGCAGGCACAAGGATGAGCAGTGGGAGCTGGGAGGGTGTCAGACCTGGCTCAGCTCCTCCCGGCACTGCACAGGCCATGTTCTCCCCAGGCTGACCCAGAACCTCAGGGCTGTACCCAGGCTGGGTCCAGAGGTTTTCCTCAGCCCATGCACTGACTGCAATACCAAATTCACTAAGGTTCACTTACCAAATTCACATGGTTGCTACAGAGAATTGACTCATAAATGAGAAACTGCCGCAAGCTTTATGTCCCTCCAGGGATTTGCCTCAGGACTCAGATTACTGTGCTGCCACTGGCAAGTACCTTTCTGTATTTTATCTTCTCCTTATTATCCCTTGCCTTCTCTGGACACAGCCCAGTGCAGGTTCTGGCACTGCAGAGTTCTCCTGAGCGCCGCATGGTACACGTCAGTGAAGGGAGCTCTCTATTTCTCACTATTTCCTTCTTGTCTCCTCAAAATGCTTTTATTTTCATGCAGGTTGCCTTAAGCAAAGCCAACCATCTCGCTGGCTTGAATCCTTCACCAGGAGTTCAGTGTAGTTCAACCACATAATCTCTGCTCAAACACAGAAACAGCTGGAATTCCTGCAGGTCCTGTAATTCACCTTCTTTCTCCACACTGTGGGATCTCGCTCTGTGGGATTCAGTGCTGGCTACCAAAAGAACAGGGGAAGGTCTGGCAAAAGCAGCAGCACTGAAGGTACAGGTACAGTCCAGAGCTACCAGGGGCTAAACAACTGGAGTTCCTTTGTCTGGAGGGTGTGTGTAGGAGAGCACTGAATCGATACGGATTCTGGCTCTTAAAGAACCTGCAGCTATTGTAAGAAAAAGGAGAGTTATTTTTAGAAGGCCTTTTATGAAGAGGCAGTGCCTTTTGTGGCTTTGGCATTGGGAATTTTGCTTCTATTCAGCCTGAATCCTGTGATGGGGTGAGCAAAGCTAAAAACGAGGTGGATGCTTCTTGAAAGAGAAAGCAGAACAGAGGCAGATGGTGAGGGGGAGAAAGTAAAAATAGGAAACACGAAACAAATATATTGTCAGAGATGCCATTTTTCTCTAGTAAAAATGTATTTGCTTATTGGTTTGTTTGACTGTTCAACTTTTTTTTACTGTATATTTTCTGCATTGAAAGCTTTATTTTATGTTAGGTACCACACAGCATAACTGAGTTGCTTTTTAATATAAAAATTATTAATTCTTTGCAGATATGACGATAACTTAGATGAAAGACTCAAGCTATGAAGCTTATGTGAAAGAATTTAAATGTGATAAATCATCCCCAGCAGTGATCAATAAATGTAAGGAATCCTACTTTGGTATTATTTTGTTTATATGGATCAAGGTGGAATGAGAATGCAGGTCTTGCTAAACTTCATTTTTCTTAAAATCTCTTGGAATAAAACAGTTCCTGTGTTGTATCACGAAGACCCAAATGACTGTGAGGTCGCTTTGGAAATGAGCTGTTTGAAAGCTGAGTGACAATTTATCTTTTATAATCTGTCCTTAACAAATTGGCGTGTTCTGAAAGTTCATTAAGGACTTTAACACGAGCAAAGACTCTTGCTGGAATGAATTCTGTTGTGATAAACCTTGTGGTTTGCAGCTTTATTCTCATTTCTATTATTAAACAGTTTCAGGTCAGAAACAGACTGATTAAAGCTATGAAAGATGAGAGTTGGTCTTTGGGGGGGGTTATTAATGTCACTGCTGTGCTGTCTTTTTTAATGGGGTGTCAGTATTCCACTGGACCATGGAAACATGTGACTTTGTGCCAGTGTCATAAACCCCTTTTGGTCTAGAAATAACATTTTTGCAACAAATGGCTGAAAAAGCAAAGGGAAGACTCCCTGCAGGAGGACATTAGGAAGCCCAAAATATTAAGAGGTGACTGAAAGGGGTTCAGTTCATGGAGTGCAAGTCTTCCCACTCCTGCTTATGTAATGGTTTGGATTCACCCTCTTGTCTTCAAAGTCTTTAAATAACAGATAACTGGAACCTGGGAGAACATCCCAGTTAAAGGACTGAGCCTCCCATGCATTCTGGAAACAAGCTACTTGGCTGGATCAGCTTGGTCTCTGGGTTTTATTCTATTGCACAGATAAATTAATTACTACATGAAGGAATTTGCATCGGCATTTCCAGGGAGCAGTTTCTCAGTCTCATCTCACAAACACTTATACAACAGGAGACAAATGGGGTATTTAAACACATTTCTGGTTCTGGGTTCACTGATGGCTCTTGTAGCAACACAGGGCATTTTATATTGAAAATGATGCTTCAGGAGGCAGAAAGCTTCTGGAGTTTGTAAGGTACATTACTGCCATGCTTAGAGCTGGTAGCTAAATTTGGGAGCTCAAAGATGAGATGTTTGCTCTGGAAACTAATGAAGCAACAGGAAAATATTCATCAGCAGAAAGGTGGTAGCACAGCCAGGATGGAAGAGGAGAGAGTGAGTTGAAGTAATGCAGCAGCAAGACTGCTATTTAAACCTCTATGAATATATAGAAATATATATATAAACTATATAAACCTCTGGAATTCCTTCCTGTGTGGCTGCAGTTGGGACTGGGAGGAGGCAGCTTCTGCACCTGGTGCCCTCAGTTCCATTTCTGTGCCTTGCTGTGGAAAACAAACCTCAACCTTTGCTGAGCTCGGGCTCTTGGCTCTGGAATTCCATTCCTGAGCAGCAGCTGATCTCTAACACACAATTCCTCGTACCAGGAATGCTGTTCTTTAAAGGACCTGAGTAAAAAGACCTTGCTGACAGGGGCAGGCAAGTGGTAAAACCAATATTAATGTAACATTGGTGGGACAATATTTCATATAAATATTGGTGTGTCACACAGCCAGGATCAGCTGAAGCAGCAGAAATTAACACTGGCTGGCAAATCTCAATGAGAAGAATATAAAAACCTCCACAAATATGGCAAATATATATTAACTTTAAGGATTTGATTTTATTTATTATGTATTAATTAATTTTTGAGAACACAGGCACGGATTTGTTTTTAAATCCTGTTTTTAATTTTACTTGTAGGCAGAAAAACAGTAGATTGCTTAACTTTGTTGGCATAAGAGGTGAGTTGCTGCATAAATGCTTTTGTTTCCAAATTACTTGGTAGAAATAAATGTTGTCTGTACCCTCTTGCTTCTCCCAGCAGCTTTGGGATTTCAAGACAAACAGGAACTTAAAGCACACAACAGCTTTTGGTGCTTCACACAGTTCTGTTATTTGGAATGTGAATCTATACAGACAATAACTATATTTGTGAAGGCAATCAGAAGAGATAAGTATGAAAAGCCTCTTAACAGTCCCGTTTATTTGGAAACAGTGCCAGTAAGTATTTTACAGAAATAATGGTAAATGAGAAGGAATTATATTTAAATGAAAGAGTGAAGTGCAAGGTATTATCTTAATATACATATATCACTGAGAATTTGAGCTCTTTTGAGAGAACTTGTAATTATGCCACAATAATCCTTTAAAACTTACTTCTCTATTAACTCACACAGTAAAACGTGCCGTGAAAATCTGCTCACGTGCTGTAGCTGTAAATGAAAAAAAGACTGAAACAGATTTCAGCACGTGATGGCTTTTTTCTTCTTCACTTCTTTATTTTCAAGTTATGTAAATGTTGGACAACAAACAGAAACCCAAAGTGTTTTGGTTATTCAGCTCATTCAGCAGATTGAAATAAATGTTTCTATCAGCCTTCAGTCACGTCCCAGTTCTTGAGCCAACTTGTTACTGTGATTGTACCAAAACCAACAGGAGAAATGAAAAAAAAAAAAAAAATTGGTACATATGACTTTCCCTCTCCTGTTTATATAAAATTATCCAGAAATATTGCCAGCTATTGGTCTGCATTTTTATTTACTTATTTAAAAACGCAATGTGTGTCAGCAGGAGTGCGTGGAGGTGCCAAGCAGCTGGTGCAATGCAGCCTGCGTGCATGTCACTGTTATAACACACTGTGCCAGCAGGGAGTCCAAATTGACGCTGCATTTCCTTTCTCTTTGTGTCACCGATTTACTATTTTAACAGGTAACTCACACTTCAAACATTTTTTTGCTCTTCAGGGGACGATTCCAATTTTGTCTCCGGCTTGGCCTTTAAGAAGGTAAGATAAGTATTTTGGGAACTCCTGCTGGGAGTTGCTTGGGGAAACTTCAATTTTATTTTTTTTTTTATTATTGTGTATAACACATTTACTTCAGTTCGAGATCAAATGAATATTCAAAAAATACATATTGCGTTACCTCTTCCTCTGACCTTCAGCGATTTGTAGAGAGCAGTTTTTACCTGCGCACCGCTGACCGCTCCCTCAGCAGACGTGACCGTAGTTACGGCCCTGTTTTGACATTAAAAAAACCCTTTTGAACCGTTTTCCTTAAACCCGGAGGGTCGGACCCTCCCCGCCCTCACGTGATTTTCGCGCCATCAGCGCGCGCCGCCGCCGGTCACGTGCCCCTCCTGTGATCACGTGCCCCTCCTGTGGTCACGTGCCGCCGCCGGTCACGTGCCCCGTGTTTACCTCGGTCGGCAGCGCGGCGGGTGAGGGACGGAGCGAGGGACCGACCCCGGGGGGAGCGTGTGAGGGGGCGGCGGGAGCGGGAGGGGCTGAGGGCTCGGGGGACCGCCCCGGGGAAGCACTTGTCCCCTCTCGGGGGAGGTGTGAGGCGGGACTGTTCCCCCTTGGGCGGCGTGAGGGGCTTTTCACCCCGCCTTAGTGGCGGCTGTGTGAGCGGCTTTCCCCCCTCAGGGGTGGCTGTGCGAGGAGCTCTTGTCCCCTTCCCTGGCGCGGCGGCGTTAGGGTTTCGTCCCCACCTCAGAGGCGGCTGGGTGAGGGGCTCTTTCCCCCCTCAGGGGCGGCCGTGTGAGGGACCTTTTTCCTCCTCAGGGGCGGCCGTCTGGGGGACCTTTTTCCTCCTCAGGGGCGGCTGTATGAGGGGCTTTTCCCCACCCTCAGGGGCAGCTGTGTGAGGGGCTCGTTCCCCCCTCAAGGGCGGCTGTGTGAGGTGCTCGTTCCCCTCTCAGGGGCGGCTGTGTGAGGGACCTTTTCCCTTTTGAGGGGTGGTTGTGTGAGGGGCTATTCCCCACCCTCAGGGGCAGTTGTGTGAGGGGCTTTCCTCCCCCCTCAGGTGTTGCTGTGTGAAGGGCTCTTTCCCCCTCATCAGAGGTGTTGTCGTCAGGGGCCTTTCCCTCCCCTCAGGGGCAAGTGTGTGAGGGGTCTTCTCCCCCCCTCAGGGGTAGGTGTGTGACATCCAAGGAGCCAAAGGCACGTGGCTGTCACCACTGTGGTGGCTTGGAATGCTGAAGTACCACCCATTGCTCTGAGCTGCCATTCACTGAACTCTCCTTTATTTCCAGGCTCACCATGTCCCTGCCAGCAAAGAGGTGTGGAAGGCCCCCGGTGTTGTCCTTCCTGGAAAAGAAAAAGAGAAAGCAAAGTCTTGATAGAAGAAGGGGCAAAACGAGGATTTATGTGGGAAATCACATTGAGCGGTGGCTGACACTTAAGGAGAAGCTGGATTTCAGGAACGATGCAGAAGTTGCAGGGTTTTTATTGGATTTGTGGGTATATTGCCACAACACTCCTCTGTTTACTAATACTGAGTAAATAGCGCTGGGTGTTGATACCAATTGTGTATTTCTTTTCTAGGTATGACAGCTACGACCCACTGTCAAAAGCCCCGCTCTGTCCCCTCCCTGAGGGTGTCAGGAGGATCACTGTGAAGGAAGAAAGAGCTCTGTCAGGCAGCACATCTCTAATAGCAGCAGATGGGACGTGAGTACTGTCCTCTCTTTACATGGGAAGGGGGGATGAAATGTTTTCCTCGGTGCTACTTGAAAGACTGTAGCTGATACTTAAAAATAATGGGGTGAAAGTTATATCTATAAAAGGAAAGTGTAATATAATTTAATTAAAATGGAAGATTTTTAATATCTTTTGCCAAAGAGCTTCTGTCTGTTTTGTTGTTTGTATTGCTGAGCACGTGACACTGGTGGTAGATGAAACAGAGACGGAACTTTTTTGCCAAAGAAGTGTTTCAGTCAACAATCTGGGTTGTATTTGCAGGTACGACAATGATGAGCAGCTGCATAAAGAATCTGCTTGTTCTGGCCTGGGAGATGTGAGAGTTGTGACTGTGAAGGAGGAGCGAGAGACACCCCAGGACTGTGTGTTGGCACGGGCAGATGACATGTTAGTGACACTGTGGTCCTTTGCATGTTTTGCATTCGAAAGTATTTTGAGTTGATTTTATTATCATATTTAATTTTGTTTATTAGAAGTTCACATCATTCATGCTCTGATTCATTATCTGAAAACGTCTTGGTGCATAATAGATGGTCCAGTTCTTCTGAGGCAAAAATCTGAAGAGATTTTGTAAAAGTTGTAAGAGTACACACAGCAAAAATATTTGTTCAGCGACTGCCTTCCCTAATTGTATACAAGGTCATGAGTGAACAAGGAAATAGCCAGTGCTTTACATGTATCCTCCTCAGCAGTTGGATATTTACAGGAGTACAATGTCCAGGCAAGTGCAGCTGCATGTGCTTTAACCTTTCTCAGAAGAAAAATGTTTCACTGTTGACTGAGTGATGTTACACACTAAGTGATGTGTTAAACTATCTAGAAATAGTGCTGTGCTCAGCGAGGCCACCCCACCATCGCCTGCTGGTCTGTGTTACTGCAGTGTCTCCAGTAACTGAGGCATTCCCACTGAGATCAGAGGAGCCTCCAATAGGTATGCTTGTCCATTACTCTCTGTTCAGGTTTTGATTATCCACAACAGTGTTACTGAATAATTGTAATTTCGTCCATGTCTTAGTTGTCTGACCTTTATAAAACTGTATTTTCTGATGTGTGCAGGGGGACACAGAGGCCGTAGGACACTGCACTGGCATTGCATGGTGTGTCCAAACCCCTCGCTAAGATGGTGAAGTATGTCAAGTACCATGTTTGTTTGTCACCTTCCATTGTGGTCTTGCTTGTGACTTTGCTAATTCTTCTTACTTTTGATTTTAGTAGGCGAACAACCTGAGGTTCTGAAAGCAGTTCCGTGGCACAGAAGAATTCTTGGAAGCTAGGGCAGGAGAAAACCAATACCAGTGCTGATGAAGCTGACAAATTCAAGTACATTCTTCAAAACAGCATTTTTCACTGGCAATGTAATTTTAGTTTGGAGTGCAGCAATAATTGAATTCCTGGGACTGATTGGATACAGGTGAGACAGAGGGTTTGTGTTTAATTGATTGCTTATTTTAGCCTTCTGAGATGTGAGAAATATTGTGAAAGGTGGTTTGGTATGAGAAAAACTTTCAGTTACCCTAAAAGGTAAGGTAATGAGGCTTTGGAACAGTCTCATGTCCGTGTGAAGATGCTACATCAGACTGAGTACATGAAATGCTGGAGAAATGATTAGGCACACGTGCAGTGGTAATTCTGTAAACCTAAAGAACAGCAGCTGTCTAAGGATGAGGAGATTCAAAGATAAGAACAAACATCCTAGGACACACTGTGTAATTCCAGGGAATGTTTACCTTCCAGGAGCAGTTGTATAACCTCACTATGAGGAAAATGGTTTACGTTTCAGTGTCTGAACATCACATCTCTGGTGTTTGGTTGGGTTTGGTTTTCATTCCCAGTAGAGCAGTGAGGAAGAGTGAGGGTGTCATTGAGGCTCTCACTGCTTGTGGGATGTCCCCACAGGGTCAAGTGATTTGCTCAAAGTCATTTTGGTAGCTGAGCTTGGGTCTTAAAAGTAAGGCCAAACTCAGTTGCTAACTCAGTGTTTTTAGAAATCTGGGCAAAATTCTTAATTGCTGTAGAAAATAGTGAGGAGTTTTCTTCAGAAAGGAACATTGGTTATGTTAATGTCTATCTTTATTTTCTTCTTGTTTTTAAAGGCGTGGTGCTGCACTTCCTATTGAAGGGAGGCACTGAAGGCAGGTATTTCCTGCTCTCCAGGCACTTGGGTGTCATATTTTCCTGTTGCTGTTACTGTTTTGGGCTTTACCAAAGGCGGTGTTTCATTCTGTGCTGCCTAAAAGAGCCAGGAAAAGCACAAGGTCGTCTTGTAGGTGCTTTATTAGCACATTCTGAGTTAATAGTCATAAAGCAGCTGTTGTGTTCTTACTATCAAATCTGGTTTTAGGCTGGCTAAACACTGTTAAGGAACTGGACACATCAAAGGCAATGGAGCAAGAACACTTGAACTCAGCTTTATCAGTGGTTTAATGTTTGGTTTCTCTTGTTTTTGGAGTCTTGCCCAGCGACATTGGCTCTCAGCAGTTGCTGTTGTTGTGGAGAGTGTAGTTAGTGGAGAAACAGTGAGGGGGTCAATGGCAGTGACTTGAGGATTCTTGCCAGGTAAAAGGGTACAGCTTTCTGAGTTCTGGCTGTTGTGAAGAGTCGGGATGTTGAAATAAGAGGAAGGAAAGAAAGTACAGAAATCTGATTTAAAGGTGCATTAGCAGAGCAAAGCCAAAGGAAGGGTTACTGACCAAAGTCCAGTAAGGTTCCTGAAGAGATTCAGTTATTCTCTAAGGCTTCTTCTCTTACTGTCTTTCAGCTTTAACATTTTTAAACAATTATTAAACAATTTTTTTATTATTTAATGTGTCTTACTTGCTCTAATATTGGAGAGTGATGAGTCAAAGTAGTGGAACAGGGTTTTTTTTTTTTTTGAAGAAGCTTTGGAGGATTTGAGATTCTTTTACTGTTGGAGTATTCGAATGATAGGGATTCAAAAATTCCTTTACTTGTATCTGCATTAATGAGACAGATTTTCATGATAGAACTGCCTATAACAGGGGGTTGAAATGAGATGATCTTTAAGGTCTCTTCCAACCCAAACCATTCTGTGATTCTATGAACTGACTTTCCTCAGATTTGCTTATGGACTGTATCTTTTTTGGCCTTGATTCAGTAAAAAATGAAGCAGAATAGAAACACAAAATAATTACTCAGAACTGTCACAGCAGTTTGATGAGGAAGACTGAAACTTGTAGGATGAGTGGGTGTCAGTCAATAGTAAATGTTGAGTTGGGAAGCCACAGCTTTAAAGGGAGGCTTCAGCTTCACGCTGGCTCTCCTAAAGTGTAATTCCCTTGGAAAGCAAATAAACAATCTTGAGGGAAAGTGCAGCAAGCTGTTGATGCTGGAGACTTACCATGCCTTGACAATGGCATGAACAGCTGAGGAGTTTCTTAGCAAGCAGGAAAGGAAAACTTAGATTTCATTTCAAAGAAATGGGGAGGGGGAAAGCCTGATAAAAAATAACCTGCTTAGCAGGACAACTTCCTGTGCTCTCCCAATAAATTGATTTTCTGATGCATTGTTTTGACTAGTAGCAATTTTTAACTGAACTAAAAGATTCTGCGTGTGCTGGTGTTGGTCTTTAGTGTTCATAGTCGGTTTTTAATTTAAAAAAGAAAAAAGAGAAGATGAAAAAACCCAAACCCAAGCACCTCCCACCCCTGGCAAACCACAGTCTGTGGTTATTTCTCTAATGTGACTCGGAAGTGAATGTGGAACATGGCTCTACCTTACAGTAAATTGAGTGGTTAGTCTAAGACAATTAAATAATTTACTTTATTGTCATGCTAAATGTTGATCTGTATTTCACTGTAGTGAAACTTCTGTTTCTGCATCATAAAAACGTAAGCTGATGGTCTGTTTGTATGTATTGTACATCCAAAAGCACAAATGGAAATATTGTTGTATTTTCTGTTATTTCCAAGTTAGAAGATCATATTAGGGGAGTGCACTTGCCTAGACAGACTTAGAGAAACAGTGTGAACGTATTTCATATTTAGGTGTTTGAATGTCACATTGTAACTGGTTCTCGTGTTACTTTTCAGGGTCAGCAGCAAGAAGAAAATCGAGCTCTTGCATAACAATACTGGGGCAGTTTTTGGTCTGTTTTGATTTTGCTGTGAGGGTATTGTGAACTGTAAGTTGTATGGAACTCCATGTTATGTGTTGAACAGCACATTAAACTTAATTCCCTGAAGTTTTACCGTGTTATGTTAATGTTAATAAAGTGCGTGGAGTGGATTATTTTCCCTGTGAGAGTCTGAGGGGCAACAAGGAAGGACAAGCCAAAATGCTCATGGTCTTGCTCAAACTTAGCCAGAATTCAGTAACTTTCTGTAGGTTGTATTAATGACTAAGTTCTTCACATTTTATTTAAAACTCAAAAGGTTTAAGATAGAAACAGTGTTCTGGTGGCAGTTGCAGCATCAAGTGCTTCCATCTGAAAGTGTTTCTTGGAATGCTTTTTCTTAGGGAACAAATTTAACATGTTCCACGTCTTGGAAGGTGTTTGTGCAGTTTATTAATTATACCCTTAAGTAAAAATACTGGACTATAGAGTGTGTTGTGTTGGTGCCTTCAAAAAAAGGAGTAATTGAGATCAGCTGCGGAGTAATTTATCTAAATATATTTTGTTACTGAATAATTTGATCTCTTGCTTTAGTTTTTGCTTTTGATACCACGAAAGCTGATATATGAGCTGATATGACACCTCTTAATTATTTTCTTCTCTAACAGAGATGAAATAAGTGTGGAGTACTTTCAGTAACTGAAGTTCAACAGAATAGTGTTGGCAGTTCTGAATTTGTTTTGTGGTTACCAGGTATGAGTAATCCTGGAAGGTTTCTAACTGAGAAGCTGAGGTTAGTACGACTCTATTCAGTGTGTGTTTGTCACAAGGACAGAAACTTCCAGCCTTCTGAGTATAATTTTTTTTTCTTCAACCACACACTTGCAAAAGCATTCAGGTCTTGATCTTACAGTATTCAAACCAGCTGGGTTTTCCCATCATCTTACACTAGAGCAGCCTCTCTCTGGGGAGAAATTCCCCTAATTAGGTCATTACACTCCACATTCAGTTTTTTTAAATGAGCTACTTCACTGGCTGTAAGAAACAGTTGCTCTGAAATATTATCCTGGTGCTTTTGAAATACCCAAATTCAGTGTTGTCTTATGACAAATGTTGCACAGACAGCTCTTTAAAAAAAAAAAAAGTTTAAAGGTGATTTTTTGAAGCTTTCTCAGAATGAAAATGCCACTTCCTTTGTGTTTGTGTTCTCCCTTTGCTCTGTGCCTTAGCAATTTTTCCTTGACTACCAAACATTCATTCATGTAAGTAACTTTGGCTCACAGGAAAAGTGACACTTGTGTCTTTCAGTGCTCTCAGATTTTTGGTTGCCACTGTCATCAGACTGAGAAGGGAAAAGGACTCAGCCTTCAGTTCTGTTCTCCTCAAGATCACAAGAATCTGCAGCTGCAGGGAGGAGCTCTGCCCTTCTGGGGCATGTGGGCACCATATTCTTGGCTTGTTCAGCCTCCTCTTTGTGCCTCTTTAAATGCACACTGCAAATGTGTGTATTATTGAACAACTTACTGTTATGGAGGTAGATTAACACTGCAAATGTGTGATGTGTTGAGGGGCACTTGCTACATAAATTACTGGTAGAATGATTATTCTGGTTCATAGGACATGAATATAGTACAATTCAGCCCTTACTAATGCTTCCCCCAGATCTCCCATTAGACTGGCACTTCATGCTGAAGAAAAATCAAGGGATAGTAGGCTCTTTAAAACTTCCTTTTGTAATGTTATAATGTGATGGATGATATATTTGGGTTGCTATATCAACATATGCTTTAGAATACCTGACTTCTGTAGAGCACAATATTATCCTTAGTGTTTTCCAGTGAAGTTTGCAGAATGGTGAATGGAAATGGTTCTGATTCTGCCAAGAATATGACAAGAACAATGGCTCTGCTTTTGTCCAAGTGAGGTTTTTCTGCACCTGTGGGTCTGTGGGAATTGTGGGACTTGACTCTGTTCAAATGGCAGAACTAAATCTAAAGGAATTATTGGAACGAGAGCGTAAATGATAAATTAAAAATGTACACGGAGAAGAATTACTCTGTGCAACATAGTTAAGTTTGTTCTTGGCAATACTGAGTACTTAGGGCAGAAAAATAAAATATGAAAACGAGAAAAAATTCTATATAGGTTTATAGTGAAAGGCAAGCAGTGGCTGTAAAACCACTGAATTTTAGTTTTGTTTTGTGTTTGTTAAGTGGGTTTACTGTGCCAGTTGGTTTCCTTGGAACTGCATCTATCAAACCTTTTGAAATGTGAGTATTTTAAGTATGGAAACTGGGAAACTTCCAAATAAGGACAGGTCCTGTGCTGAACTTAAATTTCAGACCATTACCTAAAGAACTGAAGTTACAATAACACCAGTTTTCACAGTACTAACTTAGTCTTCTGATATTTTGCCTTTACAGTAAATTGTTTTCTAAAATCACAATAATTACAATTGTGCTCTTAGCTCAAGTAACTTAGTATCACTTGAGACCTTACTGTGTCTTGTTGGAGAAAGGCTGTCTGGCCTATATTGTGATTTACTTCTGTAGTAAAAATACCAACAAAACATGAGGAAAACAATTATTTAAACTAGCTCTTGCAGCTTTCTTGGTGAAATAAGGAGTTCTGTAGGTCATCACAGACACCACTGGAGAGGGGAGCAGAACTGAGGTGAGAGGCTGGAATAGGTTACGTGAAAAAACGTGGTTCTGAATTCCTCAGGCTCAGTAGATCATCTTGGCTTTTATCTCGTGGTAGAATAGGAATAAATTTGAAATGTAACTTGTTATAAGGCATGATCATTTGTCTGATTTCACAGTATGCAATGCTCCCATCGGTGGGATGGTGCTTGTCACTCCTTCTGGGAGATGTTTTCCTGTCCTGTGCCGTTCAGGGACGTGTGTTTGGGGCTTCTGAATCGGGGCACCCCGAGAGAGTTTCAGCCACGTGTCATGTTTGGTGTGTTCTCCTGAGTCACCGCTGAAAATGCTGATCAGTGGATGGCAGGAGGGAAAATGCATCAAAGGAGGAATTCCAAAGGTAGGAGTAGTGGAGTTTCGGTTTGAGATGTGTGAATGAAATGTGGGTTACAGAGGAATGGTGAAGCTGAGCGTTTTCTGTGGTTTGAGTGGTTACCTCTGTCAAGACAAGCCTGCAACCTTTATTTTCCCCTGTCTCAGCAGAAGCAATTACTATAATTTATAATTCCAGAGAGATTCCTCACCAGTACAGGAGTCAGACCTCAGGCAGTGGGGATGTGTTTTCACCCTGCTGAGGATTCAGCAGATAAACTGGACTCTCCTGAGATCAGGTAGAGCTGATAAGTGAGAAGTCTCACCTCTTCACCACCTCACTAAGGTCAATACTTTCATCTATAGTTCTTGTGCATAAATGTAAAACTGGTGTGTATTTAAGATGCCAAAATCAGTCTGCCCTGCTCAGTGCTGTTTGTAGTCCTGCTTTCCATGCAGTGTTCCATGTAGCTGTATCCATAGATTGCCCAGGGTGTCTGGGAAGAAAGAGGGCAAATGTTTGTGTATACAAACACACTCTCATTCTCCAGTTTATTTTATGAAATCTTGAACTAACATGGATTGGAAGGGATCTCTGAAGGTCATCTCATCCACCTTGCTCCAAGCAGGGCTGACTTCAGGTTTGGATCAGGTTACCTGTGGCCTTGGCTAGCTGGGTTCTGAAAATAAGTATTTTATAGAATTTGGAAATGTTGTTTCACAGAACATAGAATCCAGGAAGTTGGATTCATCTTGCATTGCTGTTTTCCATTTTTCTTTTTTTTGACTGTTACTATACTAGTCAAGATCCTGATTCATGTTTTTTAAGATACATGACCTGACAGTATGGGAATGCTTAAAATATATTCATGTGGACAGGTAAATTATACAGCTGCAATTGCTGATTTGAATAGTTTTGTCTGTTCTAGGTAACAGTGTGTGATGTGGAGATGTTTTAAGATGTATCCCAAAGACCTTTTTTGGGCTTTAAGAAAGGATATGTTCTGAAGGGAGATGAGCACAGATACTGTGTTAAGCATTCTTTCTTATATGACTGCTATTGTGTGTGGTGTTTGTAATTATCTTGTGTTAATAGGGGCAAAAATAGTTTGGTAAATGAGTGTTCAGGAGGTAGAGACAGTGAAAAATCAGGGTATCTTGTATGGACATACAGTGCTATTTAATTTGGTTACACTGGCTTATTGGCTTCAATCAGATTAAGTGAAGAACTGCATATACTTTCCTAGAAAAATGGTTTTTTAGATATTTTAAAGCTAACTAGAGAAGTAATTGTTTTTCAAAACAGGCTTATTCTGCTTTCCTGATGTCAGTGTGTATTCCTGCCCTTTATCTCCACATCTTTGTGTCTGTGAAATCTCATTCTTGCTCTTCCTGGTTCTCTTCACAAATCCCTTTGCTCTCCTCTGTGCTCCTTCCTGGATGATCAACCTTGGTGCAGACATTAGAAGACATTCCAGCAGAAGAATTTTATCTCTGTTTGTAAGCTTTGTTTAAACAATCATTTCAAAGCAGTTCTTGACGTGACCTATTTTTCAAATGCAAACACTCAGCAACACTAAGACAACAAGTGTTATCTTCAGTGGCAAAAAATAAAATCCTATTTTAGTAGGATTCTATTGGAGTTTAAAAAATTCATCATAGGATAAACTCAGCCTGGCTTTGGGTGTAGTACAGCAGTGGTTAGCTTGTGATTCAGCTCTTGATCTGGGATGACTTAAACTGAATCTCTGCAGAGCAGCTCTGATACTTCTTGTGCTGTTTTAAATCCCAAATTAGATAGAACTACTTGTGGATAATATTTATTTTGCAACATATTTAATATATCCAAATGACTTGTCTTTCCTTTTCCAAAAGGGAAGCTGAAGGTCCAGGTTGCAGAGGATGATTCCCTTAAGTGAATGTTTTGCCTTTAACATTCTGACTGTGTGTTGGTGTGGGCTCACAGCTTTGAGCCTGGGCAAGATTTGAGCACAAATATCTCACCAGGTTGTACTTTGGGAACTTTGCCATAAATTAAGAACAGCTGCTGGTGTGTTTTATGAACGTGTACAAAAAATAACTGGTGGGTCATGTAGCTGTTCTCTACCTAAACTAGTCCTAAATCAGCATTTTTTTGAAGTCTGGTTATAAGATAAAGATTTAAATAACTTTATTTTCAGACTGATGGAATATAAATATAGGAAATACAGGAAATAAGGTGCTTTTTCTTTTTTTAGGATAGCTTCCAGAAGCCAGAGGAGGATCCCTGATCAAAGTCTAAAAATGCCCCATGAGTGTGCACAGTGTTCCTGTCAGCCCTTCATTCCAAGACTGGCCGGTACTGCCCGTCCGGCTATTCAGGGAACGGAGCCCGGGGGGTCTGGGGGTGTAACAGGAGGCCAGGGCTCGTGTTCCAGCTCACACAGCTGCTGCACTCCCCTTTTCCTGGGAATGTATTCCAGCCTCCCCAGGCCTCTGATAGCACAGCACTTTGAGCCGGGTGGCAGACTGGCTGTGGGAGCTCACCTGGCTGCCGGAATTCCCCCTCAGAAGGGTGGTGTCATTGTTCTTTAATCCTGGCACTGCCTTCATGTGGTTTGTTCCCAGTCACATGGGCCTCTGCTGGCACCAGGGAGGTGCTGGGAGCCTGGGAACCAGTGGCAAGCCCAGGAAATGACACTACCACTGCAAGCTTGTGGTTGAACCGTTGGCTAAATATTTATGTGTCGTGAAATACCTTCTCACCTTGTAGTCATTCATAAAAGCATCGAGGAAAAAGCTGATCCAGTTACTTAAATTATAATGTCAAGTTATTCTGGCATCTTAGGCAAATAGTACCTGCTTTCAGTGACAAATTTAAAGCCTGTTTAGCACTAGAAAGAGGATATTAAGGGTTTTACTTAAAATTATGAGCTTCCAGAATGCTGTTTTTAAGCACTTTTTTCTTCATTTGCCCACTGTCTCATCCCTTTCCAAAAAAACCCAACCAAATCCACAAACTGGTATTAGGAGGGGGAAAAAAGATGTTTGTGAGGATGAAGTTCACTTGTTTCAAATTCTGATTACTTGTTGATATCAGGTCTTTGTTGTGTAAATGGCAGAGGTGAGTTCCAAGCTGCAGTGCAGTGTGGATGCATTTAATGGTGAGATGACAGCAGGTGCTCTCAAAGAGGATAATTTTTCTATTTAAAATTCTGTATTGGGAATTAGAGAGGAAAAAAGTATCATTAGATACAAAAATGTTCCTCTTCTGCATGTCCAGTGATTCTTTCTCCTTTCCTGCTTACATCCATCCTAATCTTGTTTTATTCAGTTACAGCTGTGAGTGATGTTTTTCTTCCTCTCTTATGTGCTAAAACCCTGCCTCAGGAATTACTGTAACTTTTACTGGGAATAGTAGCCTTTCAATCTTTTCTTGCAAAGGAAGAAACTTAATGGAGTGAGATTTTCAGCTGCATTTACATGTTTAGGTTTGTGCAAAGACAGAATCACAGATGTCTGATATTCAGAAAAAGTTGAAAATCTGCAAAGGGAAAATGGTATCTGTGGAAATAATTGAAGATTGTTACTGGTGTTAATTATGGGAAGCATGTTTTTCTCTATATTCCTTTTTTCTTTAATAAAAATGGAGGAGAAATGAAACAATGGGTGCCCCCAAACTTGGCAATAAAATCATAACTGGAGAGCTCTGGACCAGCACATACAGAGGAAATGCATTGAGTCACATGTCACAGGTCAGTTTGCAGAATTGTGCTTACATCAGTAATCAGTTTGATTCCTGCAAATAACTCCTTACTAAGTGTTTTCTGGGAAGGGAAAACCCCCAGCTTTATTAAATAAAATAAAGGCAATTTGAGTGAAAAGTGCCATTAGGGATGTGATGGGGGGAAAATACAAATAGTCCCTTGGAACTGATTAGTAGAAAGTTAAAAATTCATTAGAATCCTTGGAGCCTGCCAACCCACTAATGAAGCTGTTGAGTTGCTGGTTTGTTTGGCTGAACTTCTCCTCTCATGCCCAGCACTGACCAGCCCCAGGGCAGGGACAGCAGTTCTGCAGGGCAGGGCTTGTGGAGCAGCTCTATTTACAGACAGGTTCTAAAATTAATGCTCTTAGGGGAAGAAGTGTTCTGCGAAAATATTTCGAGTTAAAAATGTTAATGGTGATGGATGAAAGTTGACTGATTTCAGTTTTAAGTTTGTGCCCGTGGGAGAAAGGGAAATATGTGTATGTCAGCTGCAGCCCACTAATATCTCAGCTCTACTTCTACTCATGGGTTTTGGTTTTGTTTATATCTGAGGATCCTGTTAAAAAATGGCTGGATTTCTTTTCATAATCTTTAGGTTTTATGGTTGCTGTATTAACATATTGTATTTTCAGTAGTAAAACTGCAAAGCTTTTGCACTCAGCAAGTTTCAGGTGGCATAAACAGCTTATGGGAAGTCAAAAAAGTCCCGTAGCTGATGCTGAGGAATATGCTCTGCTGTGGAGTTGATCCATGTTACTGTTTTTCTCTGGTGCTACAGTCTATCCTCAGAAAAACTTCAAATGCATTTTTATAGTATTATTTACTATTTAAATGCATTTTATAGTATTATTTATTATTGTGTGTGCATATATATATTACATGTATAGAAATGCTTCTGTTCATGTTGGCTTTCCATGACTTTTGCTGAGAAAAATGTTTTCTTGTATTTTTTTGGGTTTTTAGTGGAATAACATGTTCAGGGTTGGATCTCAGGAAAATGTCCTTCCCCCAGAGGGTGGTTGGCACTGAACAGGGCAGTGGGCACAGCACCAAGGCTGCCAGAGCTCCAGGAGTGTTTGGATAACTCTCAGGGACAGGGTGGGTGTCTGTGTCTGTGCCGGACCAGGAGCTGGACTGGATGATCCCGATGTGTCCATTCCAGCTCAGGATATTCTGTGATTCCTTGTCCCATTTTTGCCCCTCACTCAGTGGTTTAATAAGAACTGCGTGTTGCTGAGTGTGGCAACTGTAAAAACTGCCTGTGAATTGTTTCCCATTCCTCCTGTGTTCAGTTCTGTCAGGATCCAAACAGGCAGTTCCCATGGCAGCAGGGCTGCCCCACGGAGGGCACGGGAATTCGCGGCCCTTGGGAACGCCGGGCACGAGGCAGGTTGGTTGGTTGCTGGTTGGAATACAGTCTGTTGCATCATTCCTTTTCTGAGACTGAAATGAAAATAGAATATAATCTTAAATTAACCACAGGCTAATTCAATTAGCCAAATAAATTGAGGTAGAGGAGATGAGCTTTGAAGAACCCGAGTCCTCAGCAGAGAGATTTATTGCTCTGTCTTTGGACATCTGTCAGTAATTACTGTCTCTGAGCATCAGTGGCTTCTGGTCACAGACTCTCTGCTGGCTGTTCCCTCACACAGCCCTGTGGTGGCCTTTGACTGCTGAGACTCAGCTTCATTTTTCTGCTCCTGATCATGGATGGTAGTGTCTGTCTGTTGGAATTCTGAATATCCTCAGAAAGGAACTGTTTTCCTCATGTGTGGTTGTTTTCCCCCGAGGGACTGACCTTTACAGTGCTTATTATGCACCACCCAGGTGAATGTGTAAAGTAAGTGACATCTTTCTGCCTCAATATTCTGTTCTATTTGCAGTAGATATAAATTGGTTTTTATTGATTTTTTTTTTTTTTTCCTTTCCTCACCGTGTCAGAAGGACTTTGGTATTGATATTTGAGCAACTTTTTTTTTTTTTTTTTTTTTTTAAGGTACTCTGACTAGTCTGTGCTTGCTCTCTGAATTGTGAGACATGTTGACATGAGTCTGAATCTTGAAAAGACTCCTGTCTGTCCTATCAGAAATGTTTGTTGTTCTCCCCCTGCCCTTTTGGAGGTTGCTTGAACACCTCATGATTTGCACAGGACTCAAACATCATCCATCCAGCACAGAATTTGTTTGTGGTTTTTGTCTAAATCATTTTAAAGTGCTTTTTGTTTTTGTTTAGATCATTTATGTGCAGTCTTAGTTTCAGTCTCCACACGCAGTTTTGGGAAATACCCAGGTTCTTCAGCAGTTCCATCTTATGTCAGTGTTACAAATGCAATTGTGGGCAAGACTGATAGTTGGTAAGTTGGGTATAAACAGAGCAGAGGTTGGTCCTTGCGCTGTAGGACTTCTAACAGGGATGGAAAATTTCCTATGTCAAGTTGTTCATGCTTTGGCTATGCAATAAAAAAATACCAGTGCTAAATACTTTATATGGATGTGAAAAATAGTGCTGCTGTCATCATAGCCCTTATAGGATCTCTTTGTGTGCTTCCAGCCAATTTTCCTATAGGAAGCTTATAAACATGAGGTTGTCTCACTGTGCTTTAGCCTTGTTGCATTTTTTAGGTAACATTTGTCTCGTCTCTACTGAAAACAACGACCATTTCTTAACCTTTGGGTAATAGTTTTTCATACCTCAACATCTCAGTAACTCTTGCCTGAAGTTTGCTAAGTTCTGTAATTACCCTGTTGGACAGAGTAAGAAATATTTCAGAGACAGACATAAAGAAAAATATGTCTCTGTTTTTCACTGTTCCTTTCCTTTTGGCTTTCTGTTGGCTGAGCAAATGGCATTGATTTTAAAACAAACAAAAAAACCCCAAACCAAACTGATTTTGATAAAAGTTTTCTCTCCTCCTGAAATGACAAATCTCAATTAGAACTCTCTGTCATGAAAATAATTGTTTTAAAGCCCCTTTTTCTTGTCGATTCTTATTAATTCACACTTGAAATTGGTTTTAATTTGCCTTTGCTTATCTGTTTCATGTAGTTGATTCACATTTCTGTAATTCCTGTCTGGTTTTGATTAATTTAAATTATTTATACATTGGCCTGCCCTATCTTACACTCCCCACTCCCTCTCATCTCTCTTTTTCTGCCAACCAAGCTACAGCTTCTATTCCTGTTTTCTAGACCCTGTTCTGCCATGTGTCATGGTACTGCTGCACTCACCTCCTCCAGATGCCTGCAACACCTCTGCCAGATAAGCTGGACCTTGGCAGCTCAATCTGCTGCTTTTCTTTTTATTTTTTGTATGGTTTAGTTTGTTTATGGCACCGTATCATAAAGGTATGTGATGGAGGGGTGCTAAAAGGAGACTGAAAAAAAAAATCAGCTCAAGATTAGGGAGGAGTAAAAATTCTTCTATCCTGGTGAATAGACTGGATGTGTTCTAGTGGGGCTGTTCCTCTAAAAGAGAAGTGCCAGCCATTCTTAGTTTTTTGAAGAAAATGACGTCATTTTATTCAAACATGTACAGCTGGGAGTGCACAGAAAATACTCTATGCAATCTGAGCTCCCAAAGAATTAAGGAGCCATAAGGATGCTTTCCATGGGGATGTTGCAGAACTGAGCAATTCTGACAGCAAAAATGGAAAAGGCAGTTTGGTCTCAGGTGTGTTTTGACAGGTACTTCTCTAAGTATTTGCTTAAATTGCTGTACACTTCTTGATCCAAGCAAAGAGGTGGGATTAGCATTCCTTGGCAAAAGAAAGGCAAATAAACTTGAAGGAAAATGTCACAGTAGAGTTGTGGGTCATAACCCATGGCAGTGACTAATGATCCACGTTCAATACA